CGTCTATTGGAGGCAGGTGTTCATTCTAAATGAGGTTCTAGATGAGGCATATATTCGAGGGGGGCCATTTATTCAAAGGTAAGTAAATACTTGAATACTGTACAATCCCATTTGGTCAAAATTAACATAAATTTGAATGTCATTTAATATTTAACGTGTTGTATCACAGATCACTTTTATTGTAAAGAGAAATCGTATATATTGATATTTGATTAAAAGATGAATATATATTCATTTTGTTATATATTTTCTTTACTTGAAATTTTACTGAGCAGTCACTACTAGGCAAACACAAGAATTTTTTGCAAGCATTCACATATTCTTGACACAGAACAAGTTCTTGTAATCTTAAAAGCTCCGATGAGGGCAATATAAATATAAGAGGCAGTAGAGCTAAAAAAGATCTGTTATTGTTAATCAATCAACAATTAATCAATCAGCTGAGTGTTTCTAGAGCTCCTCATGAGGGCAGTATAATAGAGGCAGTAGAGCTAAAAAAAAATCTATTAATCAAGCAGCCAAGTGTTCCTAGAGCTCCTCATTGCAGCTAAAAACACAATGATCATAACAAAAGGGCCATTGCACAAGTCGGTAAATTACAGGCAAGTAGGTAAATGTAAAGGTAGGGGTAGGAGAATAACCCATAACTTGCAGCGCCATTGTGCTGAATTGCGTATGGGCGTGGTCCGTGACTACCTAGCTGCCGTAATGAGGCGCTTTTTGGTAGATACATGTTAACCCTCTAGATACCGTCTTCGACTGTAGTCGAAATTGACCTCAAACCGAGAATTCCCATTTTCGACTGCAATCGAAATTTCGTGACTAAAAAATAGGTTGTTTTCAAATCGCTCTTCTGTTTTTATTTTAGCTCCAATACGTCAGAAATTTTGAACACGCATGCGTGAAGCTTTTGTATTTCGAAATCTGTGAAGAACTCACATGCGCTTATATAAAAATGTTTAGAAATATCAATTTGAAATCGTTATTAATTTCAAAAATTTTTCAAAATGGCCGCACAAGATGTGTACACAGCTGAGCAAGCGATTGACCTGATTTTTGATTCAGACAGCGATGAAGGTGAATTTTTAGATGTGCGAGACTTAGACGTGCCTGTTAGCGATGATGACTGTGGGGCTTCAAGCAGTTCTGACGGCGGAGATGTTCTTGATGAAGATGAGCCTAGGCCTAGAAATGTGAGGGTAGTCGACGCTTTTGAATGGAAAGATTGCGCTTATTTTTATGGATGGTTGGGTAAATAATTTATACAACTGTGTGGAATAGGAATGTTTTATATTTGTTTATATTTTTTTTTGGCTATAATTTTTTTTTTTTTTCGGTTTTTGCTGACGATTTATATGTAGCATTTTTCTGTCATTTCTAT